CGCAGACATCGGCGACGTTCTCCACCGGCTCACCATTCTTTCGTGTGCGATATCAGTGACTGCAAGGATATGGTGGCTCCTATTCAAGTGGCGCTTGCTGCAGACATCGTGGACCCTGCTCGCCGCATGGGCCTTGACAACCGCACATGGGACATGACCTTCCAGGGGCTGCTTGCGTTGGTACCAAATGCACCCGGAGGGGGGAGTGTGTTTCTGAAAAGCGATACACCTGGTAAATATTCCGATTCATGCAAATAGTGCAAAACTCACTGGCTATTCCTCACCAGACGCGGTACATATACACTGCTCTTCACTCAGTCCAGGTCAATCTGTGCCCAACTACGACCACAGCTTCGCTGAAATTTGTGTTTTCCGACCAAGCGCAGGCCAGGATGCGGGCCCTCCACTCGTGCATGTTGAGAGCATCGATCTCGACCTTCAACTTGGCGATGTCGAAGCTGTCGACACCCTTCCTTGGGGCGGCTTGCAACCCGTCGTTGATTCCCCGCACATGCGTTGCCTCTCTTTCAGCCATTATGGGCTGGGGGGCGCAAACTTTGAGGTCTCGAAGAGAATGTTGTGCTCTGTGTTGCGCCGCTCGCAGCTGACTTGGGCACTCGAATCAGGCAAACTGCAATTCAAGAATTACTGCCCCGGGTTGACTGAAAACCCCGTTACAAGAGCAGACATCTTGTCGGTAACTACAGAGCACACCATCGACGGCACCACGATCGCTCTCGACATCGCCGAACAAGCCGAGTGGTTGCTGCGTCCGGTCCACTCTCGCTTTAAAGCGGACGCAGATACAACAAAGGAGCATTACTTACGAAAGCTCGTAACGAACCGTACGAGTGGAGTATCCACGGACGCAGTCTCAGGGACCGCGTTGTCCACCGCAGATAGCGTTCAAGACACGGCGGTCGAGCAGATATGGGAAGCAGCGGAGGGAGATGGTCCGGGAGACGAACAGGGCGAGGAAACGGGCGGCGTCAGCGACGAAGAGAGCATACATGGGAGAAGGCATAGGACAGGCATGGGCATCTAGTGCGGGTAGGGCGTGTCGTTGACGAACTGCTTCGGCTGTACGGACATCTGAGTCGTTTCCTGAAAATGTGTCTCCTCTGGTTTCATTCTTTTAGATGTTGCGTATAATTTCAGACGTTGGTTGTCGCTTGCTATTGCCCATTCTCGGTACGCGTTATATTCGGCCCTTTGTATATATATTTTACATTATCTCATACAGCACTCTATCATACCAGTCCTCGCTTTGCTTCGTATGTATACTCGGGCCGTGCTCAGGGACAAGACAATGTTATTCCTACTGTCGCATGGCGCAGGTAAACGCGCTTACCAGGCTGACCAGTGCTCAGCGCGAGAACGCGTGTACACCATAAGAGGGAAATTGTAACGCACGTCGAAAAACAGATATTGATAGGAGAAACAGTGTGGCAGCTACCCTTGACTCCGAGATCTCCGCCGGCGATCTCACTGCTCAGATCTCAGCAAACACGCGTTATCGTGACCTCGTCGCGTCGCGGAAGATTTAGCCTGCAGATGCGATGGCAGGAGAGCAATGACTGGATCATTGACGTATAGGGCGCGTCGCACACGCTGAGCGTTCATGAGAACGCGCATGACGATTCGCGTCACTACTGATCGGCGGCAAAACATTGACTAGAGAAGATATGACTTAGGGTAGGGCTTCTAGCATATATAGGCATAGAGACAATGGTGTACAGTATTTTCTCGAGAATTGAAACTTACCCCACTCTTTCCCTGGTGTGATAACTTCTCGACAGCTCGGGTTCTCACTCTGAGCCTCTGAGGTCCTGCAACGTAGCCGCCGACTCACCGATTACTCGACTCGTCAAGCGCCTACCGAAGGCGAACCTTACATCTGCGGACGCAATCTCAGCGACCACATCATCCTCCGCAGATGGCGCTCGAGACACGACGGTCGAGCAGATGTGAGAAGCGGCGGAGGGCGATGGGCAGGGAGGCGATCAGGGCGAGGAACAGGTGGCGTCGGCGACCGTGACGAAGAGAGCATATAGGGGAGAAGGTATAGGACAGGCATGGGCATCGAGTGCGGGTAAGACGTGTCGTCGATGGGCCGTTGTGTTTGCGCGGACCTTTGAGTTTGTTCCATGGATACCGTTTCTCCTCTGATTATATTCATTTGGATGCTGCTTATGATTCCTGAGCTCGATTGTCGCTTACTACTATATCCGGTCTCGGTGTGCGTCCTTTGTATTTGTCTATATCGTTTGTTACAGCAATCTATCATCTCATTCCTTGCTCTTCTCCGTATGTATGCTCAGGCCCTGCTGAGGGTCATAGCCATATTATCTCTACTGCCGCAGAGCGGGACTCCGACGCATTCGCCGGGCTTACTAGTGCTCAGCGCGAGAGTGTGTGTACATGATAAGCTGCAATTATAACGCACGTTAAAAAATAAATGATGACAGGAGAAATAGTGTGGCATCCACCTTTTACTCGATCGAGAACGTCGAATCGACTGAACAACAGCGCCATGGGTAGTGATTTGACTGGCTCGGCTTCAAGCCAGCAAGCGGGCCAAGCCGAGCCTGCACAAGCCGGGCCAAGCCGAGCCAAAGCGTGCCGGCTTGGAAAGGCTTTTGGCTCGGCTTGGACGTCAAGCCAGCCAAGCCAAGCCGGCAAGCCGCGGCTTTAGATAATAAACTTGCTGTATGTAGTACTGCTGTTAGAGTAATTAGCGATAAATTCCTAAAATATCATATTGTGTTCTCCTCTACCGCATCTGTCTTCTAATGTAGATAAATCAATAGATTATTAATAAGACTGAGCCTCACCACGAAGAAATATAGTGGGGGCGCCAGCGCTTGCCCCGCTTAACCGGCTGCCATGTAACGTTGCGGGCCCCTGTCCGAACGGCTTTGCAAGGTTCTGCCAACATGGAAGGAGAGGCTTGTTCAGGCGGGTGCACCTGCTTGCAAAGGCAGCGCCTTCCAGTTCAAAACGGCAGGGCGAGTGCTAGAGGTCCCTAGCTGCCCGACACCTGATGCCCGCCTGGCCACCGCGTCGAGGCGCTGCGCGACATGCGCGCTGGCGAATGAGCCCTTATATAGGCATAATATAATTTATCTGGGTGCAACCACCCGAGGGCGCGCACGAAACGTCGTGTTGCACCTCCTGCGGTTTTCCAGCACCCCCGGCACCCCTGACCGTGACAGGTGTTTACCGCATCATGTCAGCCTCCGCTGTTCGCCACTCGCGCATGCACCGTCTCCGGCGTCCGCGCATTTTATTTGGCAGTGCGTCCTTCCTTTTGTATGAAGTTCGAGTTTCTGAACGACTTTAATTGATGTT